AAAAAAAAAAAAAAAAAAAGGAGCAGTTTTCACCCACCATCTTGCAGTCGTCCAGGGCTCTCTGGGTTTTGTGGGCGCTCTCGGAGACGCTGCCCCTGCGCTCCCAATCCCCAGTCTGCAACGGGGGCTTGCTGATCTGGAAAATCGAGGAGCGGGTGGACCGGCTGGGGCGCTTTTTGCGCCCATTCGGTGCAGAACTCATGCATACACATCCACTAAGCCGAAGCCACTGGTGCAGTGCGCCCCGGCGCGGGCGGCCCGGTTGTTGCCCTGCGCGCCGCCGCCAAGCAGCCGGAGCGGGGACCCGAGACGCGCCTCTCACTGGGTTTGGGCTGGCTGCGCGGGTGGGTAACCTTCAGCTTGAAGGAGAGCGAGGGAAGCGCTGGCTGTGCCGTGCAGCATCGCTTCCACTAGCAGCGAGGAAAGGATTCGGTCAAGTTCTGCTCAGCAGCATTGCCGGCAGTGTCCCGGGAGCTGGGCGCGGGCGCAGGCTCGCACAGCCTTCACCTCGGCATGGATTGCAAGGCTGGGTGAGAAGGAACGCGCCGCCCGGCGGCTCCGAGTTTCCATTCAGATGGGGGAGCAGCTTTCAAAGCCTGCGCTGTAAGGTGGGGGTGGAGGGGTGTCGCTCTTGCTTTTAGTGTCTTTCCGCAGCGGCGTTCTGTTAATCTTCCCCCTCCCTCTCCCGTTGCCAGGCCTGGAAGAGCTGGCCGTCTCCGAAGCAAGCAATTGGCTCTAATCGGTTGCCTTGATCCCTGGTATCTATGGGCTCATCTGTTTGAGGATCCCAAATGAATCTGTGGCGGGACTGGCAGACGCAGAGAATCGGTCCGACTGACGTTGCTAGCGGCCCAGCACATTGATAGGACCGGAATACTAATGTGATCCGTCCATACAACACCCCCACCCGCAGTTTATGCACTTATCCAATCAAATGCCCGGGAACATCAATTGCAATATTACTTCATCTGCTCTATTATTAGAAAGGAAAAGTGTCATCAAAGTGGAGCACATTGCCACATGCTGGGACCTAAACAACGATTTCAAATAAACCAGCGTGGATTTGAGGCCCACCCCTATGTTCTGGAAATGTCTGGAGCCACATTATCAAAGCCCAGATCCATCAGGGAGTGAAGTTTTAGCTTCAAATGGAAGGTATCTCAGAAACAGAAAGGGAAGGTTTGTTCCCCAGTTTTTTGTTTTGTTTATCTTTGTTCAGAGTGGGTGGGTGTGTGGGGCAGGACTGCACAGAGATTCAGTCAAATGGATCCTTAGCCCCATTGCACTTCAACTAATAAAGTTCTTGGTCTTGAATTCTAGGGTCTCCGGACCCAAATCTGAAAGTTTCTCAATAGAAAGTTGAGCAATTCAGAGCCAACTGTCCTTCCTGGACTTCAAAGTAACTCTTTTCTCCTTTGTTGTTGTTAAGTGCTCCGGGTCGGTTCTGACTCATATTGACCCTGCCTAGGGTTTCCAAAGAGCGACTGGTGGGTTTGAAGCACCGAACTTACTGTTAGAAGTTCAGTGCTTTTCCTGAGGCACAACACTAGGACTCCTTTATGGAACATCAATGATCCAGAGACCAAGGGAAGTGTCCCAAAAAAAAGTGGAGGGATGTCTGCATGAAGGGAGATCCTGGACCATTTAAGGCCACCTTTCCCACTGATATCCTAAGATGGTGCAATGAGGAAGAAGGAGTGGGGGTGGCATTCAACTCCAATGCTCTGAGAACACTTATCATCTGTTTGGTGGGAATAGATAAAGGGGTCTGCCACAGAGGAATTACTTATGTATTAAAAAGTTTGAAGGAAAACAAATCAGAGGTTTCTGGTCAGTCTCACCAGGACAAATGGAGACTGCACAGAGAGGGAGGGTCTGAAATAGCAAGGAAAGTTTACACATAAGATGAAAAGTTTCAGATTTTTTTTTAAACAAGACATATTAGGGTGGATATCGAAAAGATATGCATTTGCATAGTACTTCACAAAAGATTGAGAGTCAGTTGTCCCTGTCAAAGAGTATGTGTGGGAATGAAGGTCAGTGTACTGCTGTCCTTTTAGGTGTTCAGATGGCCCTAGACCAGGGTGAAAGGGCTCTTCTGTTGGCAAAATCTTCTCAAAGGTAGGAAGATAAAGGAGGTTAACCCTTTGCCAACTTTCTGACTGTTCTTCTTTCCCTCAGTCTTAATGTTCTCTCTACTTCATTCCTATAGGAGGAGAGAGAAAGGTTGAGGTTGGGACTTGGAGAGTTATGGAAGTGGTAAGGAGGACAGTAAGAGAAGGAGCTAAAAGACTTTAAGGACATGGATAATGATTTCTTATAAACTGTTTGGGAAAGGGGTCATGACCACTAACTGCTCACCTTCCCAAACCTTCAAGAAAAGCCTGCTAGATGCCATGGTTAGCTGTGCTTTGGAGAATACAGAAAAGAGACTGTTTCATGTGGACATAGATACATCCTAGAGGTCAGTGTGCTGGAAAGTGATCCCCTCCCCTCTTTTGTTTCATCCCCCTCCCCTATAGGAAACTAGTGACTTCCAAGATTTGAGTGTTTCAGAACTTCTCAGTAGTAGATTTCTACTCCAGCTACAACCAGCTGGTTTCCATTCCCCCTTTCTTTTGCCTAGAGACAATTTAAACAAACGAAAAGAAAAAAGACAATGCAATTACACTGTCCTGTTTCTATGATACAGGACTTGCAGGAGGTGGGAGAGGGGGAGGAAAATAAGGAGTAAATGGGTCAAATGAAATGTCATGTTTGAAGGACTTGGAAACCAACTAGGGGATTAAGCAGAAATTGTCATTTGCAGGTGTCACTTGGCCTTCCCTGATACACAGTCCAAGTCATTTTTCCTGAGATGGAAGAAAAATAGCATCAATCCCAGAGTTGTCTCTCCCAGCAACAAATGCTGTAATCAGAATAGCAGCAGGCAGGCTTAGTTCCCTCACCTTCCCCCACATTCACAACAGCATGAATTTACATTCCTGGGGCTGTCTGACTGCCAAGTAGAAGGGTAAAGTGTAGTTGGAAATCTCAATAAGAGAGCACTTTTTGGTTATCCAGCCCCAATTTTGGTGCAACTTTTATAAGGGTCCTCTATAGTTATATTGTGGCACTGTGGGTTAATGTGCCAGACTGCAAAGCCATTTGAACTGCAAGGTCGGCAGTTCAAGCTCACCACCTGCTCCTCGGAAACCCTATATAGGGTCCCTATGGATCAGAACAGGACTTGACGGTACTTCACAACAACAACGTAGTTATATTGCTTTGACCCAAGACGCATCCTAGATTCACATTCTATGTCCACTTTACATTTTATGTTCTTTCTATGTTAGTTTTAGAGAATTAATTTTGATTTGGAATTTTTTAAAATGGACTCTTTGTTTATAATGAATATGAGCCACTGGTAAGTTGTTTTTATTCTTTTTTTCTCTTATTTTCTTTTTTCAAGTTGGTATGTGAAACCATAGTGGGACCTGGAGAAAATTGAATATATCATGGGTTGTCCAAAGGATAAACATACTTCTTGGAAGAAGTATGGCCAAATTGTTCCTTGGAAACAATATATGCTTTGGACATATTGTCAAGAATTTTGAACATGTCCTTGGAGAAGGATATCATGCTTGGTAAAGTGGAGGGTCATTGAAAAAGAGGAAGACCTGCAACTAGATGGATTAACACAGTGCCAGCAACAATGGGCTCAAACAGAATAATTGTGAAGATGGCTCAGAGCCATGCAATATTTCATTCTATTGTACCTAGGGTTGCTACGAGTTGGAACCGACTTGACAGCACCTATCAACAACAACAGTGGAACCCAGAGAAAAACACCTCCAATTGAGCTGGCCTGCCATGAAAAAGATTCTGGGAGGCAGGTTTCTCTAGGAGAGGAAAACACTAAGACACAATTATGTCTGTGTGGGTCTCTGACAGAGCAGAGAAAAACAGTTGGATGCTAGGTTCTAAGAGGTTGGAAGGTTTAAAGAGAATGATGACATTATTTTTAGTTTCTGTCAAGAGATGATTTTATGAAGAATTTAGTGAATAAAGTAAGTAATGGTGTATTTGTGTGATATATTGGGAATATTTATTTAATAATTTCACTTTTTTTTAAAGCAGCAGATCTAGGTTTTACTTATGGTCATAAAGCTTATAAAATTTGGGGGACTTATAAAAAAGTGGGACCCTTTGTAAGAAAAAGAAACTAACATTATAAATGTAAACTAGATGCATGGTCTCGGAAGGAGCCTATGCAAGTGATGTTCTTCTACCTTAGGCTTCATTCCCTTTACAGTGAATTTCCACCTTTGGTGTCTATGTTATACGCACAGTGGGCATCTGGTGTTTTGCCTGTTGTTGTTGTTAAGTGCCGTCAAGTCGATTCTGACCCCCATAGCGACCCTGTCCAGGGTTTCCATGGCTGTAAATCTTGACGGGAGCAGAAAGCCTCCTCTTTCTCCTGCGAAGCTCCTGATAGTTTCGAACTGCTGACCTTAAGGTTCGCAGCCTGATTCATAACCACTATGCTACCAGAGCTCCTTTTGCCTAGTCAGTTTAATTTTCCCTTTGTCTGATAATAGAATTTAATTTTTTTTTTTATAAATTAGGATTTCTTCACTTCTGTCCACATGCTTCTGTGGATGATGACTCAGACCTGACCAATAAGAATACTGCATCCCCAGTAACCACACTGATTGTTTATTAATAGGTAAGAAATGTAAGCTAATGGACCAGTGAGCTTTAGCTCAGGGACTTTTTCAGGAACTTTTAGGCTACAATATATGAGATTGCCATTATTAAACCATTTTTTAAACAAATGAATAACAATTTGATGTATTTCAACATAATATTAACTATTTCTTTTCATTGGGTTTCACTGCTAAGATGAAATCCTGTATTTCTGGTGGTCACCTTTGCCACACAAAATAAGCAGCCCACGTAACAGTCATCCCACAGGAAAGCAGAATGAAAAGCTAAGGAAAGATTGATTCCTAGTGTTATTATTGAGTGCATGAATCCAGTCTCTATCTTAAATCAAACTACATCTATGATTTCAGGTAGGAAGAACCATGAAATTCCTTTTTAAATTAAGTCAATTTGAGTTGGATTACAATTTGCAATCAAATGAGTCCTAAATATAATAGAGTCCTTGGGTGGTCAAAATGATTGAATCCTTCAGCTGCTAACTCAAAGGTTGCAGGTTAGAGCCCACCCAGATGCACCTCAGAAGAAATGTCTGGCAACCCACTTCCCAAAAATCAGCAATTGAAACTCTATGGAGCCTAGTTCTATTTTGACACTTACGGGCTCACCATGAGTTGGGTTGACTTGATAGCAACTGTTTGGTTGGTTGATTACTATAGTATGTAAGGCACTGATTGGCTGATATAATATGTAGTAATTATTGTACAAAAGCATGGATTATGTCCAATGAATCCATCATTCAGTTTTTACTGGATAATCACTATGAATAAGGCACTGTGGTAAGCATGAGAGGGATTGCAATAAAAGATATGATTCTTCCTTCT